AAGGTTTATTTATATTATGTTTTGTGTTTGTTTTCTTTATACAAAGCTCTTACGGTGATTCGTGATGTCTTATGGCATTTAACGGTGATTACTACAAATCTACGGTGACGGATCTTTAATAAAGCTCATTATGAATCATCAGTTGAAGAGTCCAACATTTTTTAAGCCAGGAAGCTACACATTCTATGTATTTGTAGGTAATTTCAGCCATCCTACTTTATTGTCATAGAAAACAACCTGCTGAATCAGTGATGTAACATGTAAAACAAGTTGATGTTCTGTAAAGTGAGCAATACGATAATCAGAAAATGGGACTGAGATCGAAAAAGAAAGAAACGCAAATGTGTAAGTTCTATGTAGGCTACTTGATGATCAATGTGAATTTGTTATATGATGATCATTCCTTTGTGTTGCAGATGATTCATGTTGCGAGGGCTCTGACATGATCTTGTTCGATGTGGAGCAATGGGCTTCCTGTCCTGAGACTGATGTGTAACATGGTTTGGAAATACTGGGTTAATTCTGCTAACTTTCATAATGCTTGCTTATTAACTGTGATTGACTGGAAGTGATTCACAGTTTCATTTCAGAGGATGAATCAGCTTGAGATGGTGCAAACTTCATTCAAAACCATTGGTTTAAGCTTTTCTTGTATTGATTATCCTCCTTTTTCCATACAATCAGCTAAACGAAAGACCTGCAACTGCATACAATAGAATAAAACATGTCAAGCTAAGAATATGAATGTATCTGTCTTCAAAATACATAGATAAACAGCTCAAACACATTCATTATTAAGTATCTAAAAATATAGCTGAATTATTTTAAGATGTTTGGATGAGACACCTAGATGTTTAGACCATGATAAATATCCACAACATGCTATGTTGTTGGGAAAGAGCACAAAAAATATTTCATAACTTTACCTGTTTAACCTGAAGTAGTTAGACAGGCTGGAGCACAAATGCAGTTCCTGTATTTATTACTGTATTAGTAATATATTCCACTGTCATGTCATTCTCTTTATTATCTGTTAAGGGGTTATGTTGAAACTAAATATAATTAAAATATATTCAGCATTGCTGAATGTGGCAGAAAGACCATTTTAGCACTGCATTTTCAATTTTTATATTTTCACAGTGATATTAATCACTGTGCAATATTTTCAGTATTGTATCAAAGTCAGTGTAAATTAAAGGCCTCGGGGAGACAGAATTTAAATCGTTGTATTGTACATACAACAAGATTAGTACAACAAGTACAAACTGTGAGGCACTTGTTCCCGGCAGTAAATCAAATGTCTGTGCACTGTGGTTACCCACACCTACTGCTTTTAATGACTTTTACAAACAGAAGCATAAAAACATCAGTGAAAGTACTTGAGCTTTTTGAGATTTTAGTTTTATTACTATTTTAACATGCTGAATGGATGTCATGATGACGGTATATTATTTTTTGTATCGTGTTACATGAACATGACCACATAATATTAAGAGCTTACTGTAATAGCATTTTTGCAAATAGCAGTTTTAAACATCCTCTACAGCTTTTACTTTTAATGATCTAAATGCAACTGTTACCAAACTCACCTATGTCAGCATATACAGAAGCCTCCTCTGACCCAGCTTTTGTCAACTTCACCCCTGCATGAAAAGAGGGCACAGTTACCATACCAACCCATACAACTATGCACGAAACCTGTGTCACTGAGCCAGAAAACAGAGAGAACCAGAGAGATGTAACTGTTTTTTTTCCCTCCCCTTGCACTCCTTAGACACTGAATGCCTAATTTGTATGGATTAAATTATATATAAGCACTGGTATTCCCGAATAGTTTTCTGCTGGGAAATGTTTTCCCAATCCTGGAGCAATATTTTTAATAAGTTTAAAAAATCCTTCATTTAGTATTCATTACAAAGTAACCTATAATCCTACACTGCACAAGGACATAAATTAGCCTTGTACAACGTTTCAGTTCACTTGCAAATTAGTTATCATGCCATGTCCAACCTTGCCATTAAATTCAACCTTGATAAATGCTAGTCCTGCTTCTCCATGAAAGCTGTCATTTAAACTTGTGTTGTAGCATTGGATCATTATTAACGTTTTTTACTATTCATCTACCAGTCAAAGTTTTTAATCTTAAAGTACTTAAGCAATTAAGTGTTAAGTTATTCTGTTAACTTTCAATATTAACTAAATGTTGAACAATATTGCTATATTAATAAATTTAAATTGAGCTGAAACTGTTTATGTTCATGTTTATATATATAGATAACATTACTCTAATAGTCTGCAGGAAAAAACAAGATTCAACTAAATATTAAGAACAAAAAGAACAGCATTTATTTGAATTAGAAATCTTTTGAAACATTATAAAAAACTTTACTGTTACTTACTTTCCTGTGTTTGACAGGCGGCTTTCCATCAGGTCCAAAAACTGAGCAGGTGTTATAGAGCTTTCCTCCATCCTTCTCAGGAATGGAACCTACAACAAAGACACAGTCATGTAAGGGACATGGAAATTAATGGCATCAAACACACTAACATGCTGGTTTGTTTCTGAGGGTCTCACCGCCCACTAAATAGACCCCACAATCCCTGGCTGCCTCCGACAACACCCGTGTGGACTCTCCTGGGATCTTCTCAGCATACTCAGCAAAGAACCCGGTTCCATAAGGGGAGTTGAAGCACTCCTGCAAACAAACATATATAATGGATTATTAAATGCATTTTTTTTATAAACCAATATTAATATAGTAGTCATAACCCTACAACTTTTGCACCTTGTCCTGCAGCCTTCTTCACAAGTTTTTGTGCTCTTCCCAAGTTGTCCGCCTTGATCTTTGACACACGTAACTGAACCACAGCCAGACTAAACTCTAGAGGGCAGAAGATCAATTGTTTAGTTATTAGCTGCTGCAGGATCAATGATTCACAACACTTTCAA